TAGTAAAATTAATGTGTACGCCGATCCTTCACATTCCACGGTACGTTTTACGTATTTTATACAAATAACGTAACATAAATGCGAGTCATCTGCATAGGGAGTAAGTGGGCGAACCGAATGACCTCATCCGAGGTGTCCACACGACAATGCGCGTTCTCCTTTCAACAGGAAACCGTTCTAGACCAATCTTTGCTGGTTGTCGTTTGAACGTTGTCGGCCACTTTATAAATCGAGTGGATATCTCTCATGCTTATACAGATTACGTATACATGTACGATTTATGGTAGCGCGCACGAGCCGAAGTTGAGTTTATTAATTCCAGTAAAGTTCGGGATATCCCAACAAAAAAGTTAATTTCCTAAAACTAGCTTCTCGATTTTCTTTCTTTCTTTTTCTTCGTTTTATCGAACCTCTCGTTATCATATGGGTGTGGACGAAAAAAATTTTCGTCAGATACAAATTAGCTACATCAATGGAATTTAATAAAAATTTCGAAGTCGAGCTGGGTGGCGAATCTGACAGTACGATACTTCTTCCTTCTCAGAATCTTCTTTCACAATTTGAACAAAAAAACGGGACATTTTGATAACTGTTGATTTATTTATACGAGAGTGTTCGGAATGAAACATTTAATTTCTTACTAAACGTCGATGTTAATCGTACATAACTTATTTCATTCAGCTCGTTTATCAACACTTCACAATTTACACTTTGAGTTTCGGAATAACGTTGTAGTAATAAATTAATATGGTGCTATACTAAATAACGTAGCATTAGGCAAAGAATTTATACGCAGCAATCTAAAAGTAGTTTTACAAGCTTTTATGGAGGCAGCGATAAAAATTCCTTTCCGGTCGTGGATCTCTTCCTTATGGTTTCGACGTTTTTCCTTATGACAATTATTAGGCATCCATATTAATATATTTTAATATACAAGATGTCCCAGTTTTTTCCTAATAAACTTGTTCTATATGTTCGAACCATGGATATAAATAGAAAAAGTTTATATAGAAAAAGTTGAATGGTATAGTTAAATTCATAGTAGCTTCTTCTTCTATTACTAACTTCTATTACTTCTTCTTGTACTAACGACTTCTTCACAAATAGGTTAATACCTTCGGTCTTATAAACGAACTGAATCGACTAATATATTAAAAAATATATTGTACTTACTATACTACCTTACTGTACTTACCTTAAATAAGATATGAAAAAATTACTTACTAATATCCATGATTTTTCATTTCTATTTTGTATGACATCTTCGTAATACAATTATAAATACTTTTTGTTTGCTAAAATGAAAGCAAGATTAAAATATAAAGAAGCGTTAATTATCAAACTAACATTTGCGACGAAAGTTATATACATCTCAATGTTCCCAATGAAATTTCATCATATCCAAAAGTGTCTCTCCCATTCAAACGAGCCTTATGATCCTTCAAACATACAATCCTTTTTTTTTCATACGCGAACATCTGTTGCAAACGTTCGATCGCCATCGTGCTTAATACCGTTTCGAATCGTTTGTTCGAGCTGACGCAACGGTTGCGATGACCTTCCGCGGGATTGCAAAAATTCAATTCAGAGCGTTTTACGGCGGATCGAAAGCGAAACGACGATGAGCAAATCCAAACCAAGGAGGTCTCGACCTCTTTAAAATTATTAACGACGCCGGATCTCGGGCTTTCGTGCGGCAAATAAATGTTTTTACGCTTCTTTTCGCCCTCTGTCCCTTTTCTTCTGTTCGTTGCCGTTGGACTGTCTCACTGGGAGTCGTGTAATAACGATATAAATTAAGACTTTATGCTCGTAGAAAGCGTACGGTTCGTGGATTTCGAAGTTTTGGCTGATTGTGCGACGAATTTCATTTCATGACTTTTAACAGAGCTTTTGCCGTGAGGTAGCGCAATACTGGTCTCGACGATGAACCTTGACGAAAGAACCGCGCAACGATCAGCCGTGCTCTTTTACGTCCGTTTAAGTCTCTTTAAGAACAATTAAAGAATTCAAAGGGATCCCGAGAACTACGGCCAACAGTGTATTAGTATTGCTTGAATATTTATTGACATCTATAATTCATTGGTTAATAGAAAACAGTAATCGTTAATAGAAAACAGGTGTTCCTTGGAATAAAAAAGACGATTGTAAGTATAAAAAGATTTACAAAGATATTTCCACGAAACACATATTAGATACACGTATACTGTTAATATGAAAATTAATACGAATAATTTTTGTCATCTATCATCGCAATTTTTATGGTAAGCCTAGAAGGTTCAAAGAAAATTATTAAAGCAACAGAAAAATCTATGAACAGAACTTACATAAACATGAATAGAATTTATATAAAAGATTCCTACATAAATATCTGTATAATTCTTTAATGTAAAAAATATTACACTATCTTAAGTGAACTATTACCTGTTTGACAGTATAAAAGTTATATAGTTCATAATCTTTTAGCTTGTATAAAGGATTAACATATGCATACATGCAGTCACATGAGTATGTGTATACATATGTGAGTGTGTATGTGTAAGAGTATTCAAGCTCAAGAAACTTTCGAACGTTTTGTAAGGTATAAAAGATATATTGCTCAGTATTCTCAAATGAATATGCAATTTAAATCTGACAGCAAAAACAAAACTGTTAATTGCATGTTATGACTGAGTTTTTACGGACGCACATCCCGGTGAGGAGTGTTCTTTGAAATTTCATGGTCAAAGTCGCGCTGTGGATGTACTCACTTATCTTAATTTACAACATTTAAACGCATGAATATTGACCAAAACACTGAATGATTTTACACTGCTTTTAATTTCATTCACACCTGTTATACATATATACATACACAGGACCCTCGTATTTTCGTTTTCAGCCTGAGGAAGAAGGAAATTGGAAATATGCGAAAATTACTATTTACAATTTTCAAGCTTCTTATTAAGCGCTTATTTCATATGTAAACAAAATATGCCAATTATGTTAATTAGATATTACTTGCATGATATTTTGTTTTCATATTATTGCTACATGTATGTGACTTGAAATAAGAAAATGAAGACATATTACATACTGTTATTATATAAATATACTTATATTTATATAACTTATATTATATTTATATATACTTATATTTATATACTTATATTTATCAGCATTGATATCGTTCGATATAAGAATACTTTTTCTGTATTATCGATTTATATAAAGAAATTTTAATAGTTTTGACAAAGATAATAAAACTGAATCTAAATTGTTTGTTTAATTACTTCATTAAGGATACTTACAACACATTTATATTATAAAAACATAATATAACGAAGTGAGCACTTACTTTCATTTCATAGTTTATGTGATGAATCTATTATATAAATAATTATTTAACGAGATAATAAGAACTAACCTAAACTTCCTAGCATCCCACCCTCTCCTGGTTTATACGGCGGAGACCTGCTAGATAGTCTTACTGGTAAGTCCTCTAGCAGATCCTGAGCGAAATACTCTTTTCGCCTTTCTTTCTTCACATTCTTCTCTCTCGCTCTAACTCTAACCACTAAGTAAACTAACTTCGAAACATTGAATTTTATCTGAACTTTAACAATTTACACCTATTATCTTTGTTTAATTTATTTCTATTATCGCAAGGATTTGAGGCATCGCGCTATAAGAAACGCGTTCTTAAGGGATGGCGAAGGCCGCCAGTTTTAAATACGCTAGAAAATGAGATGTTTGGGAAGATAACAAGGTGACAGCTATGAAACACGAGTTAAAACTCCCCGGCGTAATAAGCTGCGCCCGTTCGTGTACTTTACGGCGGCCATAACATAATTTATAAATTGCTCGGATGCACCTGGCGTGACCTTCGTGTGTCCAATATGGTCCGACGCGATGGCGCTTTATCGTTCGCGCGCGAATTGAAAAATAAACGCGACCCGACATGCTCCGCGCGTCCTCGGATCGTAAAGTACTTACGAACTTGTTCACCGATTCCACGTGGCTTTAATGGCCCTCGCAACAGTTCGCCTAACTTTTACACTTTGCACTTTACAGATACTGGAAACGCCCCACGTTAGCCTGCACGATGCATATCTCCATGCAACGTTAACAACGTACTTTTGTTTCAACTGTTCTCTGTATTTCTGTCTTCAGGATTCTCGCCCGTTCCATGGATAGCGATTTACTTGAGGACGATTTGGTTCTTTGTGTTCTTTTATGAATTCTTTACCATTTTAATGTGAACGCATTGTGAGAAGCGCATGTTTCAATAAATTCGTTTTGTGAAAGTGGAGATTTTCAATATAAAGGTTAATATTGAGAATCTGAAATTCTCATTCTTATAGTAATAAAATTAAGAGGTTCTTTTTCGGTATAGGTTGCTGAGGATTCATGCGAAATTTTAACCTAGAATTTCTTTGGATAGAACTTTTACTTTTATCAAATAAAATTTCAAACATTTGACTCAACGAATGATTATATATTATAATGCCTTATATATGATAAGGCATTAATTAATAGTAACATTGATGAGTATCTTAGATTTTTTATAATTTATGATCTTTTGGCAGTAAAGAAGCTTGGATGTAGATGATCGAATTATGAAATATGAAAAAGTTTGTTTGCTTATGAAGAGGATTGATGTATACATAGAAGAACTTGATACATTTACATTTGTACAATTAAAAATTGAAAATTAAAAAATACAATTACATTCGTATCTTCATAGCACAAATGAGTCTGAGTACAGACGCTATGACAAAGTTTTTTACCTAAAATTTAAAGACGCGATATCACTTGAGAAATGAGAGTATTCTGAAACTCAACATTACAAGATATGAAAATCAAAATAATCACGGACGCATTCGTGATCCTCTTACATTCTCCAAAATGCAATAATACTAAACCATCGCTATAAAATGTTACTTTAAGAGCGATCTTTAATTGCTATTCAACATTATAAATCCTTTCCGCATTCCACTAACCGACCAAACATTTTCCAGGTACTGCTGCAGGCGGCACTGGTGTGGGACGAAGTACACGGTGCTCCAGCGAAGAGAAACGACATACTCGCGGGCACGGAATTTCTGTCAGTCTTCATAAACGGCGCCATGGCCACGCCGCCACAGCGACGTAGGGGTTTCAGACGAGGAGGACACACGTCGTCAACAGGAGATAGCGCGACAGCGGAATCGCATCAGCACGAGGCTTCGATTTACCGAATATCGCGAAATCCTGGCAATAAACAAGTCGTCCCGAGAGCGCGCAACACCAGTGGCCGAGAAGAGGTCGTTCGATTTTACCCCATAAGCCACAAAACGTTAGAAAATAGGCAACAAAATCTAGCATCGTTAATCGACGAATTGAGCACCACCAGTGACATATCTTCGACACGGCTGGCTCCTCAAAGTTCAATAAGTACGACGACGGTCACGTCGACGACAGCTCAAGAGAAATCACCATCGAGGACAAACGCAACGAGCAATTCGACGAACAAAGCAGTCAGCCGACAGAAAGTTATAGGTGTCAGTGTGACGTCCACCGTCGAAGCTACGCCGTACAAGGTCAGGGTGGAACATTACGACAATACAGATGCGACAGTCGTGTCTCGACCGCCAAGCTCCATCGGAATTTCGTCTAAAGATGTTACGAAAGAGTTGAAGAATGGCACGACAAGGCCTCCTACTACGAGGACTATGAGCTCCACGACTGCGAGAACATTGACCACGACTACTACAACGACGACGACAACCACTTCTAAATCGCCGAGAATGACGACACCGTCGCCTTCAAGCTTCGTCACTGAGGAACTTAGTAACATCGTATCAGAATCGAACAGGAGCGAATTCTCCGTTGACGAAGGCTCGCTGAGCACCAGTTGGCGAGTTCAAAGTTCGGTTACGCCTAGATCGATGAACAAGCACACTCCTTCTTTCGTTGAACATCAGAAGGAGATAAATAATAATAATAACAACAATACGAACAATCCTTCAGGGGACATGATCACCCTGCCAACAGAGGAGAACTACGAGTTGCCGGAAGAGAACGCCGAATCAAAGGAGTTCAGCGAAGAACCAATGGAAGTACAGTCAGAGCGCTACCAGGCCCAAGGTCGAAAGGCAGGCAGACACTTCGACGCTTCCCACTACAATCGTCCAGGCTCCAAGATGTATAGCCAGCCATCGAAGAGCTATAAGTCACCACGGCCGTACAGCGAGCCAGCTAAATTGTACAGCGAATCAGCGAAGGGCTATAACGAACCTGAGAAAATTTATGGAGAACCAGCCAAGGTGTACAGCGAGCCAGCAAAGGTTTATAGTGAACCAGCGAAGGTATATAGTGAACCAGCCAAGGTTTACAGCGAACCTGCAAAAGTCTATGGTGAACCAGAAAAAGTGTACTCGGAGCCATCGAAGGTTTACTCGGAACCAGCTAAAGTTTATTCGGAACCAGCGAAGGTTTATTCGCAACCTGCCCAAGTTTACAGCGAACCTAGCAAACTTTACGACTCAGAAGGTCAACCATTGAGTCGCGAACGTGGCGGAGAACCAGACGAGCAGAATTACGAGGTGGATGAATCCGTTAGCGTGAGTAGCAATGGAAACGTCCATGGACCACAGATTATGCTTACGGAACCTTCGAACGCTTCCGAAGTGGAAGATGGTCACAAAGTGGGTTACGTGGTCGAAGGTAGGAACTACAGGAAATACAGGGTCGAAGAGAGAACTCCGGACGGTTTTATCGTTGGGGAATACGGAGTGGTGAGCCACGATGATGGTTCTTTAAGAGGTGTTCGCTATACTGCGGATGGCACCATCAATCCTCGACTCATATACGATGCACTAATGAAATTCCTCGCTTTATGAGATGAATCAGCGATGGAAGGATGGATAGAAGTGTAACGGAGGCGAGTCGACTCAATCGTGTCGCTTTGCTAGAAGAATGGCGAGACGAAGCGAAATGACTGATCTTTGAAACTGCTATTCCCAACTCAACTGCCTCAGAGTAATTTTAAGCATCGGGTTTCTTAGAATCTAAGGATCTTCCATGATTGTCTATGGCTGGTGATATGGGACTGATAGGTGGAGTATTTGGATTGTTTTTTGGTGTGTTAAGGACTGAGCATAGAAAGACGAGTCGAAGGAGCAACATGTTAAATTTCGACGAATTAAGATCTCGAGTTTCGTAAATTCTTATAAACTGTGCGAGATACTTCATCAGATAAATATTTCACTAAATACATCAACTATAAAAAGAGACGTATTTTTGCATTATCGGCAATTAGATGATTATATATGAAAAAAATATATTTTTACATAACTGACGCAAAATGTATTAAAAAGCAAAGGTAGAATAAAATATTTCTCTTATTTGAAGTACATTGAAACTACATATGTGCTCTAGATATGTGTACTATGGTGTTTCTAAGCGTTATATAGAAGCATATATGTCCGTTGAACACATTATAGAATAATAAGGAGATGATTAATAACAGGTATTAAATAAAGATTATGCTTAGAAAATAATTGAAGAGTGACTCAAAAATACATTAGTAAAATCATTCATCATTTCTTCGTAGAAATACACGTGTAAATTTATTATGAGTCCTAATTTTCTAGTTGAAAATACACCTCTCAAACGAAAACATAAATCACAACTACAAGTACATAGTACATTATTCACAATTTTCTGAGCAATTAATACATTTTATTCGATTATGAATGAAGAAAGTATTTACACTGCAGTAGAATTTTATTTATCTAAACCAGTCGGGAAACGACCAACTCATACAAAATAAGAATTTATTAATCCTCCCATTATCTTTAATTTTTGTTTTTATAATAAAAATTCGCTAATTACAATTGCATTTTAATAAATACAGTACTACTATATGTTCATAAAAATCTTATTAATAGTAAGAATAATTTCAATAAACCTATCAATAACTTGTTTCAATAAAAATTATTTTTAAGATCACCAACCGTCCAGTAACTTATAGAGGGGATTATAATAGAATCATAATAGAAAAAATATTTAGAAATATTATGTGTTTTTTAATATAATATTGTAGATATAAATGTAGAGCATCTGACGTAAATGTTACAAATAAGAGAAATATTTCAATCGATAAACTAAAGTATATGTATTTATGATTCATTGTACTTGAGATATTATTATCAAAAACGCATTGCAGAAGATCGAGAATTCAATGTCATCGCGAAAAGTACCATTGTGATAAATGCATGGTACACTAACATAAGTTCCACGAATAAGCAAACTACTTGGACTCGTTAGCATGGATAGTAATCTTTAGTTGGTCGTCACTCCGTCGTTTCTAAGGTCTGGAAAAGGTCACAGCGATCCTCCACTGACTTCGCGATCGGCTCTTTCGTCAGAGAGCTTGAAATTATAAAGAATACAAAGTTAAAGATTATTCATCGATGGTTATGGGAAAATTGAAGCGTACAAAGCGAAGATAGATTCTGAATGGTTTCCCTTTATGCATAAAATGATTTGTGTTCGAAGGATTCTAATGGCAACTTTATCAAGAATTTTTCTTTTATTACGTGACTTGTATTTCAAAATTTATAGAAATCCAACTTAGAATTTTACAATCTTATTAACTTACATCACATCAAAATACATTGATAGACAAAAATATTCGTACAGCTGCAGTGTAGAAATTAAAAAGCGATATTTCGTATATTATTAAATATATTCAAACGTATATGACTATGTACTATTCACAGACATTTACGTTAATGAATGTACAGAAATAAAAGTTAATTGCACCTATTACTGTCCCGGTGCATAATATCTATTGCATATATTAGTTGCATATATAATATAGAATACAAAAAATATTGCTCGTTTTATCTCTACGTTCCAACTGTATGATCATTTTTGTTTCTCATTGTAATTCTATAATCAATCTATTATGCATAAAATATAAACAAATACTTGGGTACTTTCAAATAGTGTACAAACGATAAAACAACGATCCAATCGCTGACTCGCCCAAAGCGACGCGACAATGTCGATAGAACGAAAACGACTGATTCTTTCGCTCTTGCCAACGCAACTGCCTCAACGATTAATTTTTAAGAATGGCCTTCCATGATCTCGCTGTTAGGCATCAACATGCGTGTATATCCGTACTGTCAGACGGAGACGGGAAAACGGTCGCTGGACGATTCGATCAGGAGCGAAACACAGGGAATTCGAAGCCCGGCCAGTTTCGTTGCGAAACTTGACAGATGAAAGTGACTCCTTTCGGTGGCGAAAGTACGAACTTTTGTATGCTACCCGATGGCCTTTGACGGTCTCGCCACGCGTCTCGAGTCGTCCGAGAAACATTTCTTTCCCCTTTGTTCGTCTAGCGATTAAACACGTTCTCCGCTGCCACGCGAGCAGGAGGTCCTCGATCATGGCGCCACGTAGTTGCGTAAATCTTTTGTGATCGCGTTAATCGCAAGCGTATGTTTCTCTCTTCCGAGATTCGTTAAACTAGAAGGTGGTGGTGGTGATGGAGTAACGACACGGTGTTCGGTTGTTAAGTCGATGATATCGCAATATTAATTATTGTTATTGGGAAGGATACCCTTATTACGATTGGATGCTTGTATTTCTCTTATTTAATTGTTTCTTTTGGTTTTACTGCGTCGCATCTTGTTTCAGCGTTGTACGTTCGTATAATATTTAAAGCTGAAGAAAAGTTTCGTTTGGTTAGTGAATTTTCATATTTGGTGGAGTTTAGAGGGATTATAATGTAAATAATGATCAGTTGAGTTATTCGTAAATGGACGAATGATATTTTATCATTTATGCATGATGTTTAAATAATTTTTGTTACGTCTATTACGTTTCATAAAATTATGCTAATGGTAACTAAATACACTTCAAATTTTCCCATTCATTCCTTTTTTCCATAACCTTAATACCTTCCAAATTTTTCAATTAATCTTTTCCTACAGATACTGTCAGAATCGATATCACAGCGGATATTTCGAAACAATTTTAATAATTTTTTAATTTGAAATTTTTTATGAATCATCTGTATGGATATGCTGCATGTTTTTGCATTCCAACTTTTTCTTCAAATTCCAAAAGATCCCAAAATTTTTTTTCTAACCAGTCATCGTACAAAAATTAATGAAAGAAAGACACAAATCGATTGATTTTCCAACTAATATCTCGCATTATGTATCTCCATACTTTTTAATATATTGAAACTAAAAGTTTAAATCGAAAAGACCTCGCACGACACAAGTAATAAAGTAAACGACATCGATCTGACAATCCCTCGTCACCTAAAGTTTTGAAAATAGCGACGAACGAAGCAGCGAGATATCCAAGAGAATCGACTAAACATGTATGTCGCGTGCTTTCGTCACTGTGACGCTTCTGTGATGAAAAAGCACATCGAGAAGTCGCAGCTGCCAGGGCCTCCATTTTGGATCATTTTAAAATCTTAATTTCTTCGAAGGCTCCGCCGCTGCGACTGAACTGCTGACTTGTCACGGCAGCGTCTCTGCGCAATTTTTAAGATATAAGTTTCTATTATAGAGCAAGGTAGCGTTATTTGAGTCAGCTAAGTCTTAGCATCATCAAATTCAATTAAAATTTTGCACAGAATAATCAAACTCATTTCATATTGTGAGACGCTACATCTCATAACTATTATATAAAATTGCCCAAAAATTGTCAATTCTTATGCAGATACAAGATAGGATAAAAAATCTAATTGGAAATACGTAAAATTGAACAATTAAACTTACAGAAGTTATTGTTTCATTTCATTCCATCGTAATCTAAGTTCAGTTTTCGTATAATAAGACATCGTTTCTCCCTTTTTCAGTGAATATATTCTTTTTAGCAAAGAAAGCGATAAATTACTGAATCTCGATACAATTTCAAATTATCCAATTACTTTGTCCTCCTGTCACGTTGATATATAAAAACTGAAAGATTTTGGGTGATTTTATAATTATGAGGTGTAGCGTATTAGCTTTTAATATAACAACGAAAGAATAAGAAAATATCGCGTACTTTAGGTCCAACAAGAATAAGCGTCAAGAAGAATAACTTAAATAATCTTATGGTATTTATGGTAATTAGAACCGAGAATTATTAACTAAATTAATTAATTGAAAAACTTCTTACCTTTTGATGAGTAGGAATTATATCCTCGTAGAAAAGTATAGGCATCAAGCTGTTACTAACAACGAATTTAGCTTTAACAACGAATAAATAGCTCAAAAATTGTTATAACAATATTTAGCAAATCATAAAGCAAATTGCTTAGTTTGATTTGAATAATTCTATCTTACCCTAAGTTTTGTAAGACGTTCCGACGTCAAGGAAGTATCTCATTCGTGGAGAAGACCGTAGAGCGTAAGACGATAACGTTATTTTATTTAGGATTAAATAGCTCATTCTTCCTCATTACCTCAATCTTTGAGATAGTTCCTCCTGCCATTTAAATAACGTGTCACGCGTACTCACCTTAAATTATATACACGATCTCGATCGTTCGCACGCACGTTCGCTCGATACTTTTCTGATAGCCAAGAAGAAAAGCGAATCTCGAAGCGATACGTGCTGATGGATCGTTTCGAATCGATGGAACTCGTTCGTTCGAATGTTGCTCATCCTCGTAGGCTAAGTGCGCGTTCATATTGTCTTTATTTTATATGTAAAAGATAAAGTATTCCGATATGTTATACACGTGATACCGTTACGATTAAGTACATTCTGTCTCCCTTTTACGTTAGGCGTACGTAGTCTAATGATTATTATTAATTATTATGCATAGCGCTGTGCAACCATTGTCATTCGTCGAATGCAACTTTGTAATAAATTCCATTGTCATAATATTTTCATTTGTACGATTTCTTTTCACCTTTAAATTACAAGAACTACGATTTACAACTAACGAGATACAGCATATTAAATATCATACGGAAATTCTTTCCTTTTCCATTTTTATACGTTTTTACATTTACATTCTTTAGTGATAAACACACTTTTATTATAATTAGAATAATTTTCAAATAATAGTAAACCTAACTAACGGTAACTAAAAGTAGGAAAAATACAAATTGTATAGCATCATATGTAAATTTTCAATTAAATATACGTATAGTAAATAGATTTTGCCATTTAAATGCATTACTATTCTATCAGAGGAATTTAAAACTTCATGAATAAATTCGGGTATCTAAATGACTATTATAGAAATAGAAACCACATTAATAAATTGAAAACAATCTTTGCAAAAAGATATTATAAAAAAAAACAACGATGAAAGAAAAAGAGGACGAAAATAATATCAGCTAAGAAATTTACATTTTTATACGCCTATTGTTAACTTCACCTCGTTCTCGTGAACTCACCATTATTATCGACTGTAAGTAAAGTTCAACAAACATCTTACAATATATACACACTACGGGTCAAGCAAGAAACTTATAATTTACCGTCATGAATACGTTATTCTCTAACATTTAATCTATAACGTTCGACCATATAACTTTCACGCTGCATTTTTAATTGATACATGAACCTCGTTAGTATCAAAGATTTTTCCTACGATTATTATAGTGATTTTTCAAGAGATAATTCCTCTGCAAGGCTACCAGCCGGAAGGTTGAGGACAATAAGCGCACTTGGCAGTTTACTGGGCTAAGAAACGATTTATGCGGTCATTATCGACACGAAGGCAAGCCGATAATAGTAGGGTCGAGAGAGTCGTCAGATATTGAGCGATCAATTCGCGAAAATAAGGGA